TAAAAATTAATTAATTTTGAAACCCTACAACTGTGTTAACCGTTGTAGCAGGCTAGCTTACCAGCTCTATAGAAGAAACTACAAAAGAAATGAAAGGTATACCTGCACCCACTATGGCTAACGCAGTGAATGCCTGTGCAAGTAAAAGCAAAAACCAAACAGCTAAATAATCATCATGCACTCACACAAATCCGACCTCTTGAAATTCTAACTCGCGCACTCTCCAAAAAAAGGTCGCAAATGCGACCATTTTGGTCACAGTCTGCAGCCCTGACACTGGTCAGGTGCATATATTACCCAACTTTTATTGCAAACACAGTCATGAACAAAAGTTTACATACACTTGTAAAGACCATGTACATCATGGCAGTCTTGACTTTCCAGTGACTCCTAGAAGTCCTAATTTTCTATGGTGGACTAATTAAAACACATGCATCTTTGTCACAAAAAAACAATCATGCATTTTGTTTCTTCCATAGATTTATTACAGCTTATCTGGAAATATGACAAAAATCTGCTGGGTTAAAAATATACATACAGAAATGCTCATATTTGGTTAAAAGTCTGATTTAGTCATTTCTTTATCACTTCTGATGTGTGTTTAGGGTCACTGTCTTGTTGGAACACCCACAACATTAAGGTTTTCCTAAAGAATGTGAAGGTAATCCTGCTTCATTTTTCCATTTACATTGTGTAAAGCACCAGTTCCATTGGCACCAGAACAGCCTCAGAGCATTATACTACCACCACCCTGCTTAATGATAGGTTTAGTGTTCTTGGAGTCAAAGTCCTCACCTTCTTATCTGGACTAAACAATAGATTTCTGGATGTCTTCTTGGACTTTCCGAAACACTGATCCACATTTTTAACCATTCTCTGACATTTTATAGACCAAACAACTCATCAACTCATCAAGAAAAAAAAAGGACAAAGATGTATTTGAAAAAAAAAAAAAAAGCTGCAGACATGTCTCTCCCTTTGTCTGTAATTTGCAAAGGGCCTTCCCCAACACCAGTTCTTTTGACTGTCTAATCATGTTTTCTTTGCAGTTTTGTGAGTAAAAGACAGGAGTCAGTGGTTTGGCAGACAGTGCACTTAGGTGGAACTACAGTGCCCTCATTTGTTTGTACTAAACTGAGAACATTAAATTGAATTGTAACATAAAACCTCATAAATGAATCATGAGTTTGCCGAAGATTGCCACTTGGAGTTCTGGACATTTTTTCTCTTTCTATTAAGTCTGAATTACAAGATACCTATCCATTAAATCAGTTATACAGGAAAGGGTAGCTTACTCATCAGCATGGATAGAAAACTAATCTGCCCACATCACAACTGTCCATGTAGTGAATTTGCTGATTCTTGATTTTTGGACAGCATTTTTTTTCTTTGTGTATCCCCTAAGGCCAGTGTTACATTTTCCACATCACTGCTAGTGTGTGTGTGTGACAAGGATTCTGTCTTTCCAGGCTCGCAAGTTTCTGCACAGACCCCTCACAGACTATGATGAGCAGCCCACACAGCTACGACATGACAGGGGCGGTACCACGCAAGCTTAGTCGTAGTGTACATGCATGGAATAGGGTCCTCCCAGCTGACTAAGAAATAGTATACAGCCAACATCCACCCATCTTTGGTGTCTGCAGTTGTCAATGTGTGCATGTGCAAGGGCCTAAAAATCAAGACTTCAGTGGGATAAACTAACAAGTATTCTATCCATCAGTTATCCAAAAACCTTTTAATACCACCAAAACTTTCCCTAAAGCTGATGGAATTCCAATATAGAAATACATCAGCATCTGTGCAGAAGGGACCTTCTGAAACAACCAAATAGGTTATCTGGAGCTGTAATAATTAGCAGGATGAGAGAGTCAACTGTGCTAAATTACTTATTTTGTGTGGAATATTAAAATCAGTTGTTTTAGGCTCCTACAGAGACATCTAAATAAATAAACCTCTTTCAATATGGTATAAATGTTAATTATGTATTTTACTTTATCAACACAATATATATATATATATATATATACACACACACACACACACACACACATATATGATATACAATATTATCTTGCACTGTTAGTGTATTGCATTAAGAATTATTGTTACTATCTGTTAATTAGCACTGCTGTTTAACATATTTTCTACAGTGAATTCACTGTACTATTTTTGTGTAGCATTTTATCTTATTTCATTTCTATTGCATATTGGACAGTCACTAATAAACTCATTTTAGGAAAACAAAATCCTAATCATGCCATTCTAAAAAGAAAGTGCCTTCAATCATTTTTATATTCCTTTTAATATATTATAGTAGTTGTAATGTAGTAGTCTTTTTGAACAGAAATTCTTCAAAATAAGAATTTCAAAGAAAGTCTACGCCTTGAATTGGGTTAACAAATGCACGCTCAATGCTCAGGTTTAGAGGATTTGTAAAGACTGACATGCACCCTGCCACACTAACATGCAGGAATGCATGACTGCATGTTTTGTTTATGAGCAAATATTTGACAAAACTTGCCCACGTGATGACAGTTCAGGGCCAAATTAAGGTTTGTAACGCTGTCAGATGCACCTGGTACCTCCACGTGGCAGGATGCCAGAACTGTAACATGTGTCTCTGTACTACAAAGGTTCAGTAAGGTATACATCCACTCTGATATGCTGTGAGAAGCTAGGATTTAAATGATGGTTGCAAAACATTCCACAAATCACAGCCCAACCCATTTAAAATGGTTTACCTGATTAAATGTTTTCGATACCTTGGTGAAATTCTAAATCCACTCAGGTTTATTTGCCTTTTTTGTCAAGCACCATAGAGAAAAATAACCATTTCCTTGTCGACTATGTGATCAATATATACTCCAGTTCATCTGCAGTACTGTACCTTCTTATACCATCAGGCAGAATCATTGAATTGCTGTAAGGCTAGAAAATCCCAAAACACAACGGCACCTCCTTACATCTGAGGAAGCCCACCACTGGAAGTACCTACAGAGATAAATACTGGGTGTGTTTGGCAGCTGCAGTCACGGCAGCGACAGTCAGTGCATCGGTATATGCACGAAAGCAGCATCCCAATAGAATTTTACAGTGTTGAAAATTATCCAAATTTTCCGGTGAGAGCAAAGAATGGTTGATTGATGACAAACAAACCGTGGCTGGTTCAATCAAAGGGCCAAGCAGGCAGCTTCTGACAGTTCAGTGGACACGACTCGGCACCAGAGCGCCACACCGAACTACACTGAGAAAAGCTGACCATTTAATGTAATAAGCAAATGTCCGTGTCATCATTTCAGCCCGGTGCTCCAACCATTGAGAATACACTATTAAAATCGGCCACCGGCTAATCTTGCAATGGGTTGGGGGCATGTTAGCCGATAAGCAAAATAGCGGTTCCCAGTAAAAAAAAAAAAATTGGGAAATGCTTTAGTAACAGTGTTGTGTGCATGAAACCAAGCGATATTCAGCCCACACGGATAGCGTGTGATACTGGAGCCGGGGTGGGGACGCAAAATGTTAATCAGGACGGTGAAAACATGAGGAGACATTAGATTATCACTTATGTTCCAATGTTCGCTCACGTTTATGTTCATTAGCTTAATTCCAATAGCGAATCAATTATGATGAAATGAAAATAAAATGGAGAAAACCAACGTTACCACAGCGGCTGCCCATGGTGGAAAACAAGCCCAGATACACCGAGCTGCTTAAACCAAAGTAACCAAGTATAAAGAACATGTATGACATAAAAGGCATGGAAACGCACTGATCCATGCTCTGAGTGGAGGCTGCTACGGCTCGCTGTGTAGCTTCCTCCGTTAACGTTTACATTTGCTAGCAGTAAGCTACTCTGGTCTACATTGCTTAGCCATGGCTAACATCAGGCTAACAATTTACCTCACCTGTGAATGCTTTAACAATGGCCCGGGGTCCAGAACCGGTGAATGGGATGACTCAGCCTTGGTCACGTTATTTCCTCTTGGGATTACAATCAGCAGAGACAAGTCGTTCCGTCCATTAATATCCATGCGAGGGTCATTCCGCGGAGCCACAAGCTACGGCACTTGCAATGGTGGCCAGCTATTCCACTACAAAGCTATTTCACAGATACATGGTTGGCTAGCGAGCCAGCCACCGATACGACTGACGATATTACTACAGGTAGCTAGCTTAGCTCAGTGTTAGCTAGGGGTATGAGGTGCTGGGTTTTGTAACTTATCTTAAACAGCTGCATCTGGCTGCAGGTCGCCTGTGGAGCGCAGGAATTAAAGGGAATATAGCCAAATGAATGCAATCTCAAAAAATGATATGCTCCTCTCACACATGAATAATATTGGTAGGTAAGACATTCCCAGAGGCCGACATATTTGTCAGTACTACAAAACTCTGAAGCCACGGTCCAACAGCGGAATTATTGCAATAAAAATAATTCTGATTGGATGACATGGGTGTCAATCAAGCTGCAGGCTTATTCTATTGCCTCTGCAGCCTTGAGCCCTCCCACCAGCCTTTCGAACAGCGAACGTCATGATTGCTGTAAATCGTGGTTAAATTGACTCCCCAGCACCGCGAAACAAAGTCCAGGGCTACCTGACTGAGCATCTGTCTACTGAATAGGTAATTCAGTACCTAGTTCCGCTATCACAACATTGTATCATCATCACTTGACATGACTGGCACATGAGTTGTCTCTGACATGAAGTTTAATCCTCTCAAGCGACACACTGACACAGTAACGTGCATGGGAGGCATGTTTACTTGTCTAAACACACACACACACACACACACTATCTACATAAAGGGCAGATTAAAGTGACAGCAGGGACGGTGAAGATAAGCCCACACACCAAGCTTTTCATCAATACACACACTCAATCTCCCAAATAATAACACAAACAACAGTTTTTTAATATGTGCACCACCATATGAGGCCATGGTGAAGCCTGAGGGTTAGAGAATAGATTCATACTGAAAGAGTTCCTGTCCACTGTAATCATTACTCATGTTCACTGGCATCATTCCTGGATCTTAAAATAAATAAAATAAATAAATAAATTCTATGCATGCATTTATATATATATACACACACACAAATTGTCTTTGATTAACCTGAAAAATACTCTGTGAATGAAATGTATTCACTCGTGAAAAAAAAGTTTTATTCAGTTCCTACATAGAAACTAAGGAACCAATAGTCATCAAGCTAAAAATGTGCATAATCATGCCCCTGCATTCAGCCAGGTTTATTATTATTATTACTATTATAAAACATTTTCGAAAGTGCTCTTCGGAACGCTCAAAGACGCTGCACAGTGATTAAACAACCAGAAATAAAAACAGCGTGCAAAAAAAAAAAACAACAGCAGAAAGCAAAAACCATTGAGTGCATTTAAAACAATCATACATTAAAAGCATTTTTGTAGAAGTAAGTTTTGGTGAGTGGTTTGAAACTGGACAGGTACGGGCAGTTACTAGTAAGGGAAACATATGAAAATCTGCCAACTAAATCGTTACCAAACAATTTCTTGTAAAGGTGTGTAATAACATGCTTTAAAATGTTCAAGTTCAACTCCCATGGGAAACCCTGAAAAAACCTGCTCAAGTTTGGGTACCGATAAATGATTGTGGAAAAATCGATTTTTAAAAAATCAGGCCTTAAGTAACTTATGAGGGGTCAAATCAGGGGTTTTTCATGATTCTGAGTTGATTGTTAGCATGTATATTTCACCACAAACAGTTCTTTGTTGAATAAGGCCACACTCACTTTTACATTTACATTCACAGTAGCTTTTATTTCACATACTTCTACACTGCTCAGAAAAATAAAGGGAACATTAAAATAACATCATTCATAATAGTAATCATCATTACTGACACACCACCATGCTGGAGGATGTTGCAGGCAGCAGAACTGCACAAAGGAGGAGGTAGCATCCTGCTGCTGGGTTGTTGCCCTCCTACAGCCCCCTCCACGTCTCCTGGTGTACTGGCCTGTCTCCAGGTATCTCCTCCAGGCTCTGGACACTGTGTTGAGAGACACAGCAAACCTTCTTGCCACAGCTCACATTGATGTGCCATCCTGGATGAGCTGCACTACCTGAGCAGCTTGTGTGGGTTGCAGACACCACCTCATGCTACCTCTAGGGCTGAGAGCACTGACAAGATGTAAAAGTGACCAAAACATCAGCCAGAAAGGACGAGAACAGAGACATGGTCTGTGGTCACCACCTACAGAACCTCTCCTTTATAGGAGTTGTCTTGCTAATTGCCTCTCATCTCCACCTGGTGTCTGCTCCATTTGCACATAAGCAGGTGGAACTGATTCACAATCAGTGCTGCTTCCTACCTGGACAGGTTGATTTCACAGTGTGACTGACTTGGAGTTACATTGTCTTGTTTCGGTGTTTCCTTTTTTTTTTTTTTGAGCAGTGTATAACACTCAGAGTTGTTTCTCTTTCACAGTGTCTGAAGCTTCAAGAGTCATTGTCTATGTCTTCTTCAGACTCAACAACATCATGACTGCAGTTTCTGCATGTAATGCCTTTATAGATTACACAGGCCCAGATGCACGTGACCCCATTCTTTTTGTAGCTGGAGATGTCCATGTACTCATCCATGTCCCCTGCACACAACATGTGGAGGAGACATGGATGAGTACATGGACATCTTCTTTGACACAGAAGCCACCAAGGAGGCAGTGATTCAGGCTGGTACTGCGATTTTCCAGTACATTTATCATGGAGCAGATACTATATTGGGTGAAATTTGGCACATGTTCTCAAGGAGGACTGCAAGGTGGATCAGTGGTTAGCACCATTGCCTCACAGCAAGAAGGTCGCCAGTTCGCGTCCTGGTGAGGACACCCGGGATCTTTCTGCGTGGAGTCTCCATGTTCTCCCCGTGCAGCGTGGGTTCAGTCCGGATTCTCCGGCTTCCTCCCACACAGTCCAGAAACATGTTGAGATTAATTGGTGATTCTAAACTGTCCATAGGTGTGAGGGTGCTTGGTTGTCTGTCTCTCAGATAGCCCTGTGATAGACTGGTGACCTGTCCAGGTGAACCTGCCTTCACCCTGAGTCAGCTGGGATAGACTCCAGCCCCCCTTGACCCTAGTGAGGATTAAGGGGTGTATAGATGATGGATAGTTGTTCTCAAGGAAGGCAGCGGTCAAACCAGTGACTCTACCTCTAATAGAGGGTGCAGCTGCCAGCATTCACTCTGCAGACCCGGGACTGGATCCTTCTACAGAGCAGGTCTCTGAAGCCCAGTGACTATGGATGGACATTAGGTGTGCATGGGTATGAGCCAGGTCCAACACTAGACCCCATGACTCCTGAGCAGCTACTGAAGTTCATGAGCTGTAATTGTCATGGAGATTGCAGCAACCAGCAGTGCAGCTGCAGGAAGAATGGGGTCACCAGCATCTGGGGCTGTGGAGTCTGTAAAAGCATCACATGCAGAAACTGCATGTATGATGTTGTTGAGTCTGAAGAAGACATAGACAATGACTCTTGAAGCTTCTGACACCCTGGATGAGAAATAACTCTGAGTGTTATATAAGTATGTGAAATACAAGCTACTGTGAATGTAAATGTAAACATGAGTGTGGCCTTTTTCAACAATGGAGTGTTTGTGGTGAAATATAAATGTTAACAATCATCTCAGAATCATGAACAAACCCTGATTTGACCCCTCATAAGTTACTTAAGGCCCAATTTTGAAAAAATCAATTTTTCAACAATCATTTATCGGTACCCTACCTTGAGCAGGTTTTTTCAGGGTTTCCCACAGGAGTTGAACTTCAACATTTTAAAGCATGTAATTACACACCTTTACAAACATATTGGTGAAGAAATTGTTTGGTAACGATTTCGTTGGCAGATTTTTGAAAGATCTCATAAAATGCCCTTAATACATCTTCTTTAAACGTCACAGACCATCAGGCCTCTTTCTACCTTTCCATGGAGATGAGAACCAGCTCTAGGTTTTGACTCTTGTGGTGATGGAGGGGAACTGCTTCATGTCTGATTTACTGTCCATCATTATGTTATTTTCCGAAACAGTAATGGTAACTTTTGTGTATAGTTTTTATGTGTCTTTCATGCAAAGATGTAACCCAAAGTTAAAGCTACAGCAACAAAAAAGAAATAAAACAATAAATCATTAAACAATCACACCAATTTGAAAGCCAAAATAAAAACGCTGGTCTTCTATGATCTAGGCAGTGCAAGATCTCGAGTTCATTTTGGAACATAAAATTGAAGTAATCACTAATATAGACGAATGTTAGTCTCGGTAAGACTTTACAGACAAAGAAAAGGATTTTAAAATAATTTGTGACACAAGCAGCAGGGTAATGTGGTCTGAAAAGAAAGCTATCTTGCGGATATGGGGAACAAAAACATGGATCAACATTTATGATTAAAATACTAAAATTTTGTTGAGAGTCTTAGGATTTTTTTTAAAAGCAAAAGATATTTTTGCATCCTTATTGAAAATTACGTACAATTTAAATGAGTGTAAAATCACATTCAGAAATCATGTTTTCTGCTCATTTTGTTTATGAAGGTTTTTGCTCATCCAAGTGCTGATAGGGAGGGACAGGCAAAAAGAACAAAGAACTGGGGCTGTCTTTTGAAATAGAGATATAACCTTGTATGCCACTATTAGTCACAGAACCACCAAGTTATTTCATATCTTTAAGAAAGCTGATTCACATCCAGATACGTACATATCAGTGTTGTGGCCAATCAATTCAAAGTAGCTCAGTTACTCACTAGGTCAGTGACTTTTTAAACCACCGAGGAGTCATGGAAGTCATAGTACTCCAATAAAAATGTCACATACAGGTCATGAGTCATCTGTATGCAGTGTAATCAGCCTGTCGTCACCTTTATCAGCATCTTAATGCAGCAGGTGAGAAACAGAACAAGTTGAATGTCACTTGTATTTACTGTAGTTAAATAATGGCAGTGCAGAACAGAATAAAGACTGGGTAGCATTCAGACAAACACATCACAGCATTTGCAGTAATGCCCATGTATCCTGCTCCAACACAGCCTATACTGCTGTTAAGATGAAGTATCAATAGAGGGCACTCAAAGACCACAAAAAAGTGCCACAACATCCTTAGGTTTTGTAATCTGATCTGTTTTAGTCACATGGAATGCAACAAATGTGTCACTTGATGGAGTGACACAAAGTACATGTGTCAATGATGACCGATGACAAGTCAAACAAATTAAAACTGTATTTGACTACTCTTGAGAAAAGCTGATATTAAGTTTTGAAAGACAAAAATCACATCAACTTTACACACTTTTCTGACTGACAATAGCAGTTCATATAAACTCAACATTGNCATATAAACTCAACATTGTAAAAGCCCTCCGTTTTTTCTTCTTTTTGTTGTAATTTGCTTTATTTGACAGGACAGTAGCAAGAGGAAGATATGACAGTGAGGAGAAGAATGGGGGAAGGACCTGCAGCAGAGGGCCATAGGCTCAAACCCACAGCGGCTGCGTTGGGAACTATAGCCCCTGTTCATGGGTTGCCCGCTCAACCTGTTGTGCTACCGGGGCGCACGTAAAGTTCCTCCTTAAGCACAAATGACACACATGATGGTAAAAATTGCTGCAACTGTTAAACGTGTTAATATATTTATTTAACCGATGCAGTTGCTTATTTCCAACGGACAGCTGCACGTTAAAGTTAAACTTTAAACTTCATATATTTAAACCTGATATTGTATTGAAGTGCTGTGGAGCCAACCTGGTCTGGAGCACGTTATGTTCAGAATTTCCGATTTAAATTATGTACATTTTTAATAATTTGCTTTTCTTTTTAAAATCCTTTTGTTGTCTAACAGGCTTTAATATGTCACATTCTTTTTACAGGAAAAGTTCTCCACAAGATGCCGGGTTGACTGGTATAGAATAACACTATATGGTTAAAACACAGTTTAAAAAAGCTTTAGGAACATACTGTAAAATGTAAAGCTGCTAAAACTTAAAGATATTCTATTAAAAAAAGCAAAACTGCATATCTTAAATGCTGAAATTTAAAAATGTCTTTTTAAAAATTGTATTTGTGTCAATCTAATTCAATGCACAAAAGCAAAAGTTAAAAACAATTACATACAAAGTGATGCTTCTCTGAAAATGTGTTGTGACGATGCAGAAACAGAGAAAGAAGGAAAAACTCTTGCTACATAATTATGAGGATCTTCAATTCAGCCTTTATTTAAACAGGCAAATCAGTCAAGAACAGTCTGTATGGTGCTCTAAAAACCCTCCCTTTCACTAATTCTGTTTTCAAGAACATGTGCATCAGCTTTAAATAATAACAACAACAACAATAATAATGACCAAACAGTGTAAACAAACTTGGTGCCATGTTTTTTTTTAGTGCTGGGTTGTCACAGTGTGACAATGCAATAACCCCATGAAAATAAATACAGTATTCATAAATAAAAATAAAGGAGTACTTGCTAATTAGTGCATCTATATGGGTTTCTTCTGCCCTAGTAGTGTTAAAAAAAAAACAAAAACAAAAACAACTTGACTGCAACAAAATGCTCTTTAAGACATTTTTCAATTTTCAGACTATCATGTGAAAAAAATTAAAACAGAGCAAAAACAAAATTTGAAAAAGTAAAAACCTATTCTGTGGTTTTGGATAAATAACAAGACGTCACTAAAACAAACTAAACAACTCATAAAGGTTCATGCTTTTTTGTTTCAGGGGAACATGTTTATGCACTATGAAATGGTATCTGAAGAAGCGTATGACTTCCTGTTAATCAACATATGGAGAAAAAAGTCAGTCATACCATAATGAGAATAATATCTCAGTTTTGAATAAAGTGGCAGTTTTACAAGAAACAGTCTTATATTTTCAGGAATAAAGAATATTATAAGAATACAGTTGTAATTTTGAAAATAATGTCAAAAATTACATGGAAGATAGTTGCAGTTTTCAAAAGAAGAAATAAATCTGACAAAGTCATATTACAAGAATGAAGTTGCCATTATACAAAAAAAAAGTTTCAATATTCAGAACAAGGTTGGAATTTTTAAAACAAAAAAAACAAGACAGTGGTAAGGCTTCAGGTCACTTTGCCTGACAGCCAAATGTGGTCACGTCACTTCACCAGCGAACGAGGACAAATAGGAGAGTGGGCCGGGGCTGTACTGCATGCTGCTCAGAGGAAAGTGACCACAAACAAGCCTTTCATTAGAATCACATGTAGCTCTACTTACTGTGACTTCACTGCTATCATGACATGGCTTTTTATTTTTCATATAAATATCAATTATGACCTTTCTCAAATCTAATTTTCCCCCCTTGCAAGTAAATCTTGATATTTCTCTTATGGCATACACAACAGTCACTGAAACTGCATCAGACAAAAACAAATAGAAAACACCTTCAATGGCAAACCAGGTGAGATCTCACAATGACAAGATATTGCAAAAACACATATAAAGGAAACACTCACTGTCGGTCCTACTGTATGACTAAAGATGAGCTATAATAAGGAATTTATGTCGAACAGATCTGCTAAAAGCTCTAGCTTCAATCCTGCATCAGCCTGTCTGTGCAACCTTAGGATGTTTAAAGTACCTGGTCATATAAAGCTCAATTTACGTGTTTAAAATGTATGATGTGCAGTAACATACATTTGGAAATGGTCTGCTAATAGTCCTCCTTTACAAGTTAAATACCTCCTTTGGTCCTATGTAAAGTATCTAAAAGAAAGTCTTAACAGTAATGTGAACAGTTTTGCATTACAGCATAAAGACTGTTAAAGCATCCAGATATGAGATTCTGTTGTACATTTAATTAACTGGCTCAATCACTTGTCACTAAGCAGATATTATTACTTGTGCTGGTCTATGTGTGTGTGTGTGTGTGTGTGTGTGTGTTTAATTTACTCACTTTTTAAGCAGAAATGTTGTTCTAAACGGTGCTATGTGTAGCATTTTACCATTAATACATTATCAACATGCACTTATATCAACAGTCAGGGTGATTAACAACTTATTCCTACTACACAAATACTTTTCTGACTTCTGGAATTTTTGTCTTTTTATTTTGTAGTATGAGTTACAGTTACATTACCCTTTACCTTCCCACATTTTTCCTAAGTTCATATGTAGACTTATACTGATAGGCCATAACATTAAAACCACCTGTGAAATATTTCATGGGTTTTGCTTGTGCTGCCAAGACAGCAGGAATGTGTGGACCTAAGGGTTTCCCATTGAAACGGGATTATTAGTGTTATTCACTTCACCTGACAGTGGTTTTAATGGTGTGGGTCATCAGTGTATAATGTAGGGATTTCTGGAATGAGAAAGTGAAAATGGGTTAGACCACAACAATGACTTTTTTTGGTCAAGAGTGGCTGTTACTAAATATGTACCAGGAGGCAGGTGAAGCAGCTGCTTAACTATCTGACAGAACATTAGCTTGCTTATATTTGAGCCATTCTGATTAGATTGAAAACATAACAATTAAAGGTATATGTTGGACTCATCTGAGCCCAAACTCATTGACAAAATACTGTTAAATTAAAGTGAAAAAAGCACATCTTGAAACAAAAAAAAAGTTAAACTTGGTTGGACGTTTCCCTCTCACTCTAAACTACTGGGTACTACTAACTACACGCATATTCCTCTCTGTATTCATATATGGATAAAGCAAAGTTATACACGCAATTACAGAAGATTGTCAGGCAAGCTTAGATTGTTTTTGTCTCCTGAAACTATCATTTTTTGAAGCCATGTTATAACTTGTGACTTTACACTGCCCTCCTGTGGAATGCATTCGATGAGTAATAGACACACGGATGAAGTTTTACTGGAACAACCATGTTCAGATCTCTAAAGCAGGTCAGTCAGAAATAAACTAAACTATTGAGGAGATAAATGCAAACAGTAAAGCCAAAAAAAGGAACCACTGATGATCTGTAAGTTTCTGGGTCAAGTTTTGGAAAGACGTGTAAATTCTAAAATGCTTTGCATAAGCTAACGATTCTGATGGTAGTCTTTACGTTTTCTTCCAGTGCCAATGTTGCTCATTTTATAGTTTATTTATCCTGCTTACTAGTTTTGAACAAGCATGTTTACTTTAGCATGCTAATGTTTATGGTAAACTTCATATTTTAGAATGCAAAAGTAAGCAGGTTAGTATGTTGATTTTAGAGGTATTTGGTCAGACAAATGCTTCACTTTGTGGACCATAGTGCAGGAATGACAAACGGACCAACAGTGGCAGCTCTATAGCCGAAAAAAGAAGATCTAGGTACAATTATGGTGTAAGTAAGCATGTTGATTTAAGGGAAATGTGACCTAAACAATGAAGAAAAATAGCCACATGCAGCACCTTAAATCCTCAAGAGATCATCATATAAAACTTCCTTGCAGTTTCTTTTAGTTTTTTTTTCTGATTGTCTGTTGGCTCAGTGTTTCACTTGGTATCTTTTACATTCTTGTATCTCACAAAACATTCATCACCTTTGCTTTGCCTTTTCCTTACTGAAAGAGCCAATATACCATCTTTAGCTTTTCTCTTTCTTATTTCACTCTTGCCTACCCGTCCTCAGTTTCTCTAGTCACTCCCAGAAGATGTTGGTAATGTCAGAGTCCAGGCTGAAGATCCAGATTACTAGTGGTGCAGAGATCAGAACGAATGACCAGGACACGCCTTTCACTGAGTGATGTAGCCTTGTTATCACTACACCGACCAATCCCCCACTGGCCCTTGCTCGCTGCAGCTCATCTTCCTCTTCAAGCGACTTTTTTTAAGATTTGGATTTCAACAAGGTGAGAGAACACAACAAAAGGTTAGACAAAACACACATAACTTTGAGGTAGCCTGCTGTGCATTAACAGAACCACTTAGACCACTTCCTCTGACCTGGATCTGGGTGCCTGGCTCGATATAGCTGCGGGCCAATAACTTGAGGGCCTCATCCATCAAGATGACAGGAAGTGACATCTTCAACACCACCACCCACTGAGGCCATGACAGTGGTCGTATCTGGAATATGACCTGGAGACACAATCAAAGCAGGATGTTGATTTTTTGGGTGTTGTATTCCTCACAACTGTTTTCGATGTTCAGCTTCAGACATGCTTTTGTGTCTAATCCGTATGTAATTTATAACTGCTAAATAAATATTGTTTCACAAAATGCCAGACGGCAGTCATTCACAAACACATACAGTTCATGCATCCTTACCGGAAGTGGGTCTACGTATAGAATCAGGAAATGTAGGGTCATGGATAGACAGATGGCCCCCACCAGCCAGGGGTTTGACCAAGGGGGCATTTTTAGCAAGGACTGGTTTTCTGAAAGACTGGAAAGTACAAGAGAAAGTTCTTTAGTTTACACTGCGACAAACATCATCCACCTGGGTTGCAGCCTGTAAACAGCCGACTGTAGTTTTATACCAAATCATTCTATTCTCATATCATATGCTGAATAACACTGGAGCATTCCTAACTTTCGGATATTTAAAGGTATGTAGTTTAGTCTGTGTTGCTTTGTTTTTTCCTTACCTGTTTAAGGCATTGCACATCTCTATGGTGACCAGCACAGACAGAGCCATAGTCATTGGATAAGGAGACTCAAAGACTGAACACTGCACACCAGCAAACTCGACATGGCCTTCAGTGCACTGCAGATAATGGGACTGAGGCACAAACAAATGCATAAATGACACTCATACTACAAATATGACATTCTATCTATATAAAGTATCAATAATTATAATGCTGTGATCAAAAAAGTAAATTCATCTTTCTCTTCTGGCAGAGCTTATCCAACAAGTGCACTTTTATCTAAACTATCTGAGCCCTACATGCAGCAGTTTGTTAAACCTTGTGTACACATGATGTTCTCTGTAGAACTGGAATGGTTGATTGACTGACTGAATAACGGAAAAGTAATCTACTACTATTTTTATAGTCAAATTTCAAAGATTTCAACTTAATCTGTGGGTAACTGTAAGACACTTTTTAAAAAACAGTTTCGAGGCAATTTATAGAACACACCATTCACTGGTAAAATGAACAAATAATTTGAGAATAACGAAAATAATAATTAATTGCAACCAAGTTTCCGTAATGCATCTGCCCAATTTGTCTTTATTAATGCTTTAAGCCCCTATCTGCTCTTTCTTTCAAATTTCCACCTGTAAAAAACATCTTTAACTTAAGTTAGAAACAGCTCCACAACTGTAAAACATTGACACTTATCCTCATCACCAGGCCAGATAAAGAGCTTAAAAACTGTAACCTAGAAAAAGAAGGGAAGCACGGTGCATCTATTTTAGTAATAGTGGTACTAGTCAGCTTCCTAATTTAACATGCCATCCTGAGCCAACTTCAAAAAATGGTGCTGAGTTGCAGTTTAATGACAGCCACAGTATAGTTCTGCGAGAGGGACGTACAGAGTGGAAAGGGTTAACAAGCCTAACATTTCATATCTATTTTATTTAACTCTGAGCTACGTCAGTTATGCTTTCATGAATAACTTCCACAAGTCCACTTTGAAGCCTAACCCTTTTCAACAACTTTCACATCAGCTTACAACAAAAAGGAACGCACACCAGAGTTCTTTTTAACCAAACTAAAACACATAAATAATCATTTTTGGTATTTTTTTCCCCCAGTTTTACAACATTAAACAGGCAAAGACAGGCCTGTAATAAAAGCCCTTTGACAGAAGCTCTTCTAAAGAAGCAAAGGACCGTGCTAATGCTCAGATGTTTTTCTTGTACTACCATCTCCTGCTAGTACTCACTTTTATGTTTGCACAGAAAAAAAACAACACTTTTGATAAGAGCTGGTTCACAACCTTCAATATTCTCAGTCTGTTTCTTAAAAACTGACAATTACCAAAAGCAGGCCTTCAGTGTCTGACTTGCTTATTTATTATGAATCAACTATCTTTAAGTACGTATTATGAACAAAGACATTTACCAGTTGATAGAAGGAAAGTTTTGGTCCATCATGGGCTGCCATAAACCACCAGGCTGCAGCTCCTACAGTGGCTGCTCCCACATAGCCTACAGAAAAATACAATCTGTTCAGTAATTACAAAGAACAATCTACAATATAAAAATGTACAAGACAATATGCTAAACAGATATTTTTGGATTATCTTGATTTAAAATATTCAATTAGGAATCTAATGGTCTCTGTGTTAGCAGAACTTGTGCAATGACTAATTATTAAGCTTTAATTATGGTAGCAGGTGTCTGTAATGATAGTCATTCTATCATAATTATTTGATGATGCCACCATGTCCCAGGTTCATCACTCACATCCAATGATGAGGTAGCGACAGAACAGCCAACTGGAGATTAGAGGCTCTTTGGGGGTGCGGGGAGGACGAGACATGATGTCCAGGTCTGGAGGGTTGAAGCCCAAAGCAGTTGCTGGGAAACCGTCAGTGACCAGGTTGACCCATAGCAGCTGGACTGGGATCAGAGCTTCAGGCATGCCCAGGGCCGCTGTTAAGAAAATACTGAGGAAAGAATAACAGATGGAGGAGGAGGAAACAAAGAGATTTAGTGGATTATCAATATGAAAAATGTCTTACCCAGGATCTCAGACAATAAATGAGGACACCACTTAATTTTCGGCTATATCTTTTTTTGCATACACTTGTATCAGCTAAGTGTGTTTTCCAACTAACCAGACCACTTCTCCTATGTTGGACGATATCAGGTATCTGATAAACTGTTTCATGTTGTTGTAAATGGCTCTGCCCTCCTCTACAGCGGCCACAATGGTGGAGAAGTTGTCATCAGCCAGGATCATCTCAGACGCTGACTTGGCCACTGCTGTGCCACTGCCCATAGCAATGCCAATCTCTGCCTTCTTCAGTGCTGGTGCATCGTTCACCCCATCTCCAGTCTGAACCAATGAAAGAGACGATAGTAAATAAGTGGAGACAACTGCTTTTGTTGTTATCTACACAACTATGACACTGCTTCAAGTACAAAGTCACACTCTCACCATGGCAGTGATGTCACTTAGGCTTTGCAGGTACTCCACTATACGGCTCTTGTGGGCCGGTTCCACACGGGCGAAGCAGTGCGCGGTCCGACAGGCCTGACGTTGCAGGTGAGGAGGCAGCTCGTCAAACTCCCTCCCAGTCAGGCCCCCAACGATCCCAGTGCCCTCCTGTTCCTCTTCCTGCTCTGTGATGATGCCGACCCTCCTGCAGATAGACAGGGCTGTCCCTTTGTTGTCACCTGGAGGAGAACCAAAAAGTTCAATTCATTTCATAGTAAAATCCTGAACGTGAAATTTCCAAATAAAACACGACGTGAAATGAGCTATACAGCCCTGAACATGTACCCACATCCAGGAGCAAGAGACATGTCACGTCAGCAGCTCCTCGATTGTAAGTTTAAATTTTTTTCAGATAGCCTGTTTTAAATTGAGAATTGTTTTTCTGACAGCCCCCAGCAGTGGGAACACTGTGTGCAGCTATCCCTTTTCAGTTAGTTTAAAATGGTAACAAAAGTTCACAAGGACAACATGGCTAGGATTCAGAGTGACATACCAACAATGGCTTCAGAAAATGACAGTGGTAAGGTTCTGGGCGGGTCGTCCTCAGCAACTGAGCACTGCACTCAGTCAGCCTAATGTTCATTTTAAAGCACAAAAGGCAATCTTTATTTTTCCAAGGTGCATTACAGAGGTTTTGAGCTTACGTTGTCTCTCCTGTGGATGGCTTCACAGAAGGCCCACAGATTAATGTGTCCTTGAATGGTACAATGTATCACATTTCTAATGTCTCTGCGCTTCCCACCACTGCAAAAGAATTTGTGTTAGACCAAAGACCAAAACCTTTCATGGCGACGCCCAAGCCAGAGGAAAATTCCTGTCAGATTCTGATTCCACTTGTGCTACATATACTCAGCAGCTCTTGGACACTGATCCTGAGCTCCTCAGCTAATGTAGCAGTCATCCAACTCCACCTCAGTGTCACATTGTTTAATAAAAGACAGTGTCCATTCACAAAAGAACCAACGGAGGATATCTGGGATACTGTTAATGGAATAGTGGATGTCGGTGTGCTTGTTGAATTTCAGGGCCCCTGCAACATACCAATGTATCCTGTGATGGAAGACTGACTCCAGGAAATGTTGTCTCCAAGCTATAAACCAAATTATTACAGCTGCACACCCTGCATTTCACCGTCTTGAGAACTGTTGCTATACATCAGCTTATGCTAGCCTTTTTCAGTGTCCTATTGAACCCATCATCAAGATACCTCTGAAGTAGAAAAAGCAGGAAATACACCAGACTTTCCAGATATTTGTAATTGCCAAATATTTTTAGCTTTATGGCGACACAAGATCTTGCAAATACTGACATCGACTCTTCTTTGATCCAGGATATTAATGATCTTTTGATTTGCAGTCCATACAGACAACAATGTCTATGTTATATGCTGATAATGCACAGAGCATTAGCTGGAAAGGGCCACAAATTCGGCTTGCACAGAACACTGCAAGGTACAGAAATTCTTATTTGTGACAGTCACCTCACTGCAGTTTGCAGCACACCTACACCTGTGTCCATCCACCAAATTTAGTTTTTTTTCCCTCTGCGATTTACACTGGTGAACTGACAAAAACATAACTTATTATATTATGTACAGTTGTGACTCGATAATCCGACACTAAATGTAAAACCTTCTTTTATGTCGGATAGCAAGGCTGTCGGATTGTCAAAACGGAGGTCGAGATAAAAGGAGAGCTTGATGCTTGAAGGGTAATTTGTTGTTAATATTCATTGTTCATAGTTGTTATAATAACCAATAGGGCTGGTCTGAATAGCACTTTCTGGTCTCTGGATATTCATGCCCAAGTAATGATGAATATCCAAATATTTGGCGCGGTCGGGGAGGAGGAGGAGACTTCCAGCCCAGGGGCGTGCTCTGACGGCGTGGAAGTGGCCGGAACGCACAGGCAGTACTTGCAACCTGCAGCCTGAACGTAGCCAATCTGTCGCATTTCTGTTGACTTCTTTGCACCATGGAATAATAATGCAGCTGTAACTTCATCCCTCATCCTGGCAGACTGCTTTCTACAGCCGGGGCACTGAGGTTTCCATCAGAAACTCACCAGCTAATGAAACGCATCCTGAACAAAACCTGCCTACATGGGAGGTTTGTGTCAGAACTGCAAACAAAAACTGAGGGAGTGCAAATGTTGGTGCTAACAAGTTGGCAGCCTGACTGCAAAGCTGTCAGTGAGAAAGAAACAGGAACTGTAAGCAAAAGGATATATTAGCAAGAATTGCAAAAAACAGTATACACAATTGTAAAAGCAATTTGTTTTACTTTTGAAATTATATTTATTTTCTTTTTTTCCCCCATTATGTTTGATGTTTTAGAAGCTTTGTTTAAACAGTTTGACACCAATCTGATTCCATAGAGGTGGAAAATGCAGAATTTCAAATTGAGTTAGGCACAAACAAATATTTTTGCATGTTATGGATAAACAGATATGCAGATATAACCTTAGCTGAGAATCTGTATCACTCTTAGAAAATAATGAGTGAAAGAGTGGTGCTTCTTACAGATGATTTAAATTGCCAACTCTGAACATAATCTCCTCTGGAGCAGGTCAGTTGCATATCATACCTTACCATGGTGATTTAGCCACGTTAAAAAAAAAGAGAGTCACCTTCGTGACACTGAAAACTCTGGCTTCCGAGTGTCTTAGAGAGAATCGAGGGCAGGGAAAAAGTATGAGCTGTGAGGAGAGAGGAGTTGGGGCAACAGATTTAACAAACTGAGACATCCTCGCTTCAGGGTGTCAGTTTAAAGCAACGTCAGTTGAATATGAAGTGTGGCACAGCTGCATCACCTGTCCATTGTTTTATTATAACTTACAGATGTGTTTTATGGTCTGTCAGATGAACAGAAGAGTGTTCATGGTAAATCACAGTAAATATTTTTTGTTTTAATTCAAGTCACAGCATGGTAGATTGTGACGAGAATGATAAACCTCTATCCCTAATTTTTTCAACCCAATCTGAGATGGTCATGTGGGAAGATTTTCTTCAATCTGGTGATTTGAGGAGGAATGAGCCTTAATCGAAGATGCACCTGTGCCAGAAAATCTCTGTTGTGTATTACTTTGCACATACTGGAACTGTGTGGTTTGACACATGTATCAAAACAGTTTTTGCATACAAAGTGTGCTGAATATTTAAATGTCTATGTCGTTTTGTGTGTGTAACCTTACCTGTGATCATGATGACTCGAATGCCAGCTTGCCGACACATTTGGACTGCACCAAGAACCTCTTTCCTGGGAGGGTCCAACATGCCCACACAGCCAACAAAGGTGAGGTCCGACTGGGTAGAATAAAAGCAATGGAGGGTAAGCACAGAGAACTAAACTAACAACTTTTTATTTCTTATTTAGAGCCAATGTTAATGATTGACAAAAAGACATATACCAAACCAACTACCTTTTAGCAGAATGAAGGATTGGCAATGTAAGTATTCTGCATTTTACAAAAAAATGACATGGATGCAGAATTTTACATCAGAGCTTAAGCACATGTCTGCACTATTATCATCATCACCTCATAGTCAGCAAAGGCCGCTGAGTTCTCCAGGTTGAGACAGTGAATGTCAGGGGGTGTGTCCCTGGTTGCCATGGCAAGGCAACGCAGCGTGTCTCGGCCTGACCCCCACTCCCGTACAGTGGACAGGATCTGTTCTCGAACTGCCGGGCTCAAAGGCACACGAGCTGAGCCACTAACCCGGATATAATTACAGCGCTCCAGCATGCTCTCTGGAGCTCCCTGAGGGGACAAGGTAAGACACATCAGGACAGGATTGTATCTTGTTGGCCAGTGGATAATCAAATGTATGGTAGTGTGTAACTTACCTTGACAAACATCTTGGCTCCAGAGGCAAACCTAGTGAGTTTATTAGATGAACAGAAGACAGACATAGACTTCCTGTCTCTGGAAAACTCAAGCGTCAGCTCCTTCCGCATCAGCTGTTTAATCACCTGAAAACAACCAATAAAAAGATAACTATGATGTGCATTTTAGTACAGTTTAGTGAGCTCAATTGGCAGAACACAGACACAAAAACTGAAAAGACCGATCCCAAAATGTTCACATCTATATACTAGCTGTGCACACACACTTACAGAGCAGCAGGCCGTAGCTCTCTCAGCTGAGCTAAGTCCTCTCAGGTCAGTGTCGAACACATTCATTTTCTCAACCAGACAGCAGAGGGCAGTCTCTGTTGCTTCGCCGACCTTTTCGTACACACCCTTTGCCTGAAGGAAAGGTAAAAGGATGCTGTTAACTGTTAACTGGCCTATGTACTGACCAATTTAGAGAAGCATTTGTGGTAACAAACAGTTAAAGCTAGATTCCAGGCTGAAAATTTCCAAAACCATATTTGATCATCGATGACAGTCTGAGCAATTACTGCAGCCATGTTTGCATTTCTCACCTCATTATAGTCCAGTGATGAGTCATTACACAGAGCACAGATGGAAGCCATCTCCACCAGGCCTTCAAACTGACTGCACTTTACCATCGAGCCATCCTTGTAACTAGAAGGATGAGAGCAAAGAAAAGAGAAAATAAATAGTGAAAAATGAAACAGATATTTAAATTGTAGCAAAGAGATCAATTATTTATAAGTGTGGGCTCTCATAATCCATAAACTGTCAAAGGTTGAGGATTTTGTGTTAAAAGTTAAAGACACTTACACTTCTCCTTCAGGGGCATAAGTAGATCCAGTCACTGCAAATTCACTAAGGCTGCAGCGCTCCCCCGACACACTGTCTACTATGAACATCTGAACAAATGCACATACACACAATCAGACACTGCAGCTCTGGATAAGTTCAGTCATGTTAGAAAATTACATTCGGAGGCCAGTGCATCAGTTTATTCTTAAATGTAAATTTTAACCAAATCTCAGATAAAAGGGAAATGGCCTGTGGCAGGTAATGAGGGGTAGAGAGAGAAAATGTACATCAGTTCAGTCATGTTGTATTTACTGTCTGATGCTCAGACACGGTTCGAGGAACACACAAAAAAAGCCCAAGGCATTTACCAGGCCTCTAGAATCTCTAGATATATCTTTGTACAACATCATAAAAAGCTGTGGATATTAGAAATAAAGACCTTACTTGTGGAAGCAATAGATAATGTGTAGATTAGATAATGCTGCAGTGAATCACTTCATGTCCTACAAAATAGTAATTACTGACTACTTCATATCATTGTTATGTAGCCATCCCTAACACTGACTCAAACAGTGCAGCGACAGTTATCTTATACGCACCACTCTGCTGTTTTCAGTTTCTACTAATTAAAATAAATGCTATTTTCTCAAACACTTTTTCCTGTTCTTCTCAACTGGTAACTTTCCTGTTTTCTTGATGCTCTAGATTTCTCACATTACAAGTATCATAGCCATTCCATTATTTTTTGGCTTTGATGGTGAAAAATCTTGAAATGAGCCACTGTAGTCGGCTAAAAGTAATGTCAACTTCCTTAATATTCTTATATTTTAACCAGCTTATATTAGCCACTGGCTGAAATATGTTTATGTTGTTTATATAATCTTAGGTGTGTGTCAGCCACTTATCTATTAGTTTGATGTGATGTGCCTCCTGCATCTTACCCTGCAGACTGACATCTGGTTGGTGGTTAATGTTCCTGTTTTATCGGAGCAGATCACAGAGGTGCAACCCAGCGTCTCCACTGAAGGCAGGCTGCGGACAATGGCGTTCTTTCTGGCCATCCTCCTGGTGCCTAGTGCCAGGCAAGTAGTGATGACTGCTGGAAGGCCTGGAAGGGAACGCAATAGGAAGTCATGAGAAAACAAAATATTCCATACTTCTTATTTCAAAACCTCCTAATGCCTGCACCTTACATGGTGAGGATTACACAGGACATGTGTATCTGAATACTACTTAGTATCATTCTCATGAGTTTATACTTTGAAAATAAAGTGCATGTCTGAAAGTGGCTGAAGTGGCTACAGTGGGATACCTGTACTAAATACCACCAATAGCAAAAACAGAAAATATGCGTGTGTAAAGAAGAAGTGATGTTTCTGCACAGGACAGATAAGAAGCTGGACCTTCTGGTATTGCGGCTACTGCCAGTGCGACTGCAATCTTGAAATAATAAACAGCTCCTCTCAGCCAGCTGCCTCCATGGACTGGGTCATTGAAATGTCCCACATTGATGGCCCACACAGCCACACATATCACACTGATGACCTGTAAGACACAAAGAAACACAGGTATGAACAGAGACATATATTAATTCTACAGATTATTTCTATGGATTTTTAAATTGTTAAAATCAATAACGAATTCAAAGTTGGAGTCCAAAGTCTTTGAAAAGACAGAAACACACACAAAAACACACAGGTTCTTGCCTTAGACAGTTGTTCTCCAAACTGGTCTAATTTCTGTTGTAGTGGGGTTCTTTCAGGGTCAGTGGATGCCATCTCGTCTCGGATTTTTCCAATCTCTGTCTGCACCCCTGTTGCCACGACAACCCCAATGGCTCGGCCCGCTGCAATATTGGTACCCTGTGCAAATATGATGATGAGCTTAACTCCACGTCTGTCAAATTTGCTTTCATCATAAAAAGTGAAATCTAATTTCTCTATTATAATTCTCCTTTAATAGCATGGTCCAATGTGTGATATAGAAGAACCACATTACCATGTGAGGTTACACTGACTCCAGAAGTACACAGATAACCACACAAGCAAAGACAGTCTGCATGTCTACAGGTGACTCGGCAGACACAGGTGTTTGACAGAGATAATACAAAACACAAACACACACTTTAACCATGGATGCGTTGCCTGTGTTACAAGTATGTTACAGGTATTCATTCCTCTTTTAGTGATTCACCGAATTTAACACAGGTACAGCCACACAGTGCTTGCAGTTACACAATTAGCGAAATGGAGATATCCGAGTGCGGTGAACGTGTGCGACGTGATTGTAGTGTAAAGAAACCTTTATTTGGAAGGCTTAGACATTGGTTCTTCAGTACTCCAGGCTATAACTACACCATGAAGACAAAAGAACACTCCAAGCAACTCTGTGAAACGGTCACTGAAAAGCAGAAGTCAGGAGATAAGTCAAGAACAAATTCCAAGCCACTGAGTGTCTACTGGAGTACAGACAAATGTATCATTGATAAATGGAAGGAATAGGGCACATAGAGCAGACCATCCTAAAAACCTGAATGACCATGCAAGAAGGAGACTAGTGAGGAAGGCCATCAACACACCTATGACTCCTCTGATGGAGTTACAAGCTTTAGTGACTGAGGTGTGAGAGGCTGTCCACACAATAACTGTTGCCTGTTCTTCATGAATCAGATATTTGGGGGAGAGTGGCAAAGAGGAAAAAAAATGTCATATTAAATCTAGACTAGACTTTACCAGAAGGCATGTTTGGGACTCTAAGGTGAACTGCAAAAAGGTTCTTTGGTCTGAATCTCACACATTGCACTGTGGCATTGTTCTGTTTTTCCCCCCCCTATTGCCTATAACAAATCATGGTAGGCGATCTTGCAATGTTAAATTGTAGATTCAAACTTTCCACATGAACTGAGAAAGAGCATGACTGGTCAAAATTTCCAGAATGAAATCAGCACAAAAACAGAATGCAAGAAAGTGACAGGCTTGGTATCCTGGCAACTAATCATGTGACTACATGAGATAATCAATCTGTGAGGTCAATTGTGATTCAGATTGTGGACGGTGACTGTGAAAAGTGACACACCTACCAATGAATGCCATGAAAAGAGCAAAACCAATAATACATTCTGACTCAACCGGCTCTAAGGCCCAGGCCATCAACTCCAACTGAAGATGCACTTTTTTTTTCAGAATATAGATGCATAGTTTTCAGACAACAACAACAAAACAACCTTATTATTGTGTCACAGCTGGCCTTTTCATTGTTTGTTTGTTTGTTTAACTAAATGTTATTCAAGTTAAAACAGAGTCACTGGGGACAAATTGCTGCAGCAGATTTATCCATATTTGATTCTCTAGTGGATATTTGGAGCTCTAGTGTGTATTTAGGAAAGCAGCACAGTGGGCAGGAATGAGTCTGGGTAAACTCCAATGTGTGTGGTAATGAAGGAATATGTCACCCTGCAACACTGAGGCTTATTGATGTTGACAAAAATATTGAAATAATGCCAACCTTATCCTTGAAGTGCAAGTAATGGGGAGTAACTTTATTACTTAAAAAGATGGTCGCCAGTGTTGTAATCCTGTTTATCTTTATGTTTTTTCCTAACTGTGTGTTCTGTGTTGTATGTGAATTAGAAAACATACTTATGTCTAAAACTACATTTCTAAAAGTAGGAGGCAAATATGGTTAACAAAACTCACGGAGAACAGCATGTTCTTCTTGTCCTGGTTGACAGCTCTGGGATCTGGTACAGGATCTGTGTGTTTCAGCACTGACACAGACTCCCCTGTCAGAATGGACTGGTCCACCCTGAGTGTGGTGGAACGGATGGAAGTCAGCCTGATGTCAGCTGGGACCTTATCACCAACTTGGGGTTGGGATGGGGGTACAGAGACAAAAAAAACAAAAACAAAACAAAAACAAAAATTTACTTTTCATCACTGTTTTTTGAGATTAGATTAGGTCATATGTGATATCAACGTTCGTCAATATACTTTGGTTTAATCTCCTCCATCACTTCAAAGAAAAAAACAAAATACAATGGGTATGAATGACTATGAAAAGCAACTTTTGGTACTTATTCAGAGAGTAACAGCCACAAGAAGTCAAATTCTAGTCTTGCTCATAACAAAATATTCAATACAGTGAAGGATTACACATCAAAGGTTGAACAGCCACAGATTCTGCAGCTCAAACTAGCAAGGCTCTCCTACCTCACCTCAAGTAAAAGATGCAAGTTGCAAACATGTTTTTTCCACATGCTGCATTTACTTAGCAAACAGCTACCAGACTCCACAGTGTGACCTTGTTACTTTGATCAGGTGATTGTCAAAACAACTGAAATAATATTTGTGTGTATTGGACATTCAATGGATAATCAGCTGGATGAGGACACCTATTGTGGGGAGTGACTCACCTGTTTCCAATCTGCACCTGCCATAAAAGAAGGGCTTGAGTCACCACCCGACACCAGACTGCTGTACTACACACAGTCAGCCAAATCAGGCCAGCTTAAGCTCTGTTTCTGTTTGTTGCCTTACTGATATTATTTTTACTGATGTACTACAAAGAAACCATTTAGAGGAGTAGAGAGAGAGGCGACTGAAATATAAGCCTGGAAAAGGACTAGTTAATGTATCAAGTAATGTTTGAAATTAGAGAATTAAATGTAGACAGGATTCATTGATGTTTATTCATTGAAACCCAGGATAAACAGTGTCTATGTGTTTCTCTGTTAGGAAATCAAACCAACGATATTTTAAAGTTAATATACAAAACCAAGAAATCAGTTCAGTAGCAGAATTCAAGGACCTTGTGGTTGTATTAGACCTTCAACTTAAATTTAATCTCCATGTAAAGAAGATTTTACAAACAGTTAAAAAAATCTGAACTGCTTTAAATTAATCAGAAATTATATTCCTAACCAGACAGCCCTACTGTACATGTACGCTATGATCTTCTCCAGTATCTCATATTGTCTGACAGTTTGGGCTCAAGCAGCCCCATCTACAATAAAACACATAAGCTCATTATACAATCAAGCTCTGAAAACTATGGATTAAAAAAAACAATGCAGTGGCATCACCGTCTTATTTTAAAAAAACACAATTTTTTGAGTTTTGAAAGCTTCATCGATCTTTGCTTCCTCAAATTAATCTTTAAATGCCTCAATAAATCACTGCCACAGCCACTCTGTGGATTCATCCATAGACAGGACGGCAGCAGGGTCTGTGCTGTTTTTATTGGTGTTGTTGGTCCTTTGTCGATTTTTACCGAAAAGCCCAACCACAGATGGAGTTGAAAATTAGCTTAATGCTATACACTCTATCTGTAATACATTAGATGTTTTCTATGTAAAATGCATGGTCCCTGATCAAATAAATAAATATCTGAAAATGAAAATAAGTGAAGCAAGTGCGTGACCGGAAGGGGTAAAGTGAAAAAGCAACTCTTGCCCTCCCCCATCAACATCACTGTGAGGCCTTTGAGCAAGTCCCCTTTGAGCAAGTCCCCTTACCCCAAACTTGCCCCTGCTTTGTAGCCAGAAGATTAGACTGTGGTTCTACTGGGCACCAGCCTGAATGTATAAAGGTAAACAAGTTGATGGGTTTAAAAAGGCCGTAACCTGTGCAATTTACTAGCACAAGCTACTAAACATGCACAGATCTACTGATCACTCCAACATCTTTGGTCAAAAACCATCCAAAGAGAATCCAATGAGTCACATTAAGCACAGCGTGCAGCTCTGTCCTGTAATTCCAGCTGACTTGTGGCACCGAGTTCCCATGCTCTGGATTAGTACTTTTACTACAGATAGAAGGACACTGGACCACTAAGACACACACACACACACACACACACACACAAGTATCCCTATTTCCTCTCTCTGAGCAGCTAAAAATATCAATGGGTATCTGGAGGATTCAACAATTTTCTTACTGGGTCAAGATAAAACTGTACATGTGTGCAAGTACACTGTTCAGAACACTGTTCAAACAACTCAGCTGGACTCATTTTTTTGTTGATACAACTGAACTCAAAGTGTTTACTTAAATAGAATTCTTTTCAGATGACTCATTTCAGTTGTTTAAAGGACAGCGGGCCAATAGAAGGAGGTCCCATTGGGTCCCATCTGTCCACTTGCTTTCTCAAACAAAAGAAAAGTTCAGGAAAATGTTGAGAAAACACCAGAAAATACGCTCAGATTCACTCAGAGATGTTGAAAGCAATGCTAGATTGGAATTTCCATCTCCTCTCAAATCAGTGGCCCACAATGTTATTACAACCATGTCTAAACAGTCATACACTAGAAATGCTGTGTGATTAAATATAAAGGTCCTCTCATACTCCCTGCAGTACGACACACAAACGACTGGAGAGAACATATTTATAAAAGACTTGAGGTTGGCAGTGGATCCCTTGGGTGATGTGGATTGTGGGGTGGGCCCTGTGTGGATCAAGCTTGTTTCTGCACAACCAATTTTAACAATTCCTTAAGCCGTTTCTGAGATGCGCTTTTCTGCTGGTGGAGGCTGTTGCTGTTGGTAAATGCTGTTGAAATTGGGGTTGTGTGCTTGGTCTACTACAATGGCTAGGCGGGTGTAGTCTTACACAGCTATTCTGCAGCACAGGCTGGTCTTGCACCTATTCATCATTCCATAATAGAGAGAAAAACACTGATTTATTTTTTTATTCTTAACATCAAGTCCATTTTTATTAAGTGGTGATAGACCAAGGATGCAGTGACAGTTTCCCCTCAAAATAGGGTATAAGTATGAGCAAGTATTATATTAGCAAATAAAAAATAGAATTATTTACT